CCACTCACCCCACCCACAAGGAACTGCCTGGAGCCACTTCCCAGAGTGGGCAGTTTCCCAAAGCCACGTGGTGTGGGTGCCCGTGCTCTGTGCACCTGTGGTCACCTCTGCAGATCTCTGTCATTGCTGCTGCTTGTCCTTATTATGTGGTATGTGTCTCTCTTATCCACTTGACTGAGCTCCTAAAGGCAGGAACTGATTCTTACTTAGGTATCAAGCCTCGTGGCTGGTATATAGTAGGTACAAAATAAATATTTGACAGATGAATGAATGCTAGGTATACCTGAGGTACTAAGTGAATATGTGTGTGTCGGCTGATCAAAAATGAGGATGTTGAAGGACTATAAGATCCACCTGGAACTACTGTCACAAACACTGCCTGACAGTACCATCCTAACAGGTGGAGAGCAGTGTCTCATTGTGGTTTCGATTTGCATTTCCCTGATGATCAGTGACTCTGAGCACATTTTCATATGCCTGTTGGCCGTATGTGTGACTTTGAGAAACCAAAAACACAAAAGACAAGTGTTGTGGGGAATGCAATGGTGTAGCCGCCATGGAAAATAGCGTGGAGGGTCCTCACAAAATTAAAAATAGAACTACCATAAAATCTAGCAATTGCGAAAGGACTGAAGTCAGGATCTCAAAGAGATATCAGCACTCCCGTGTTCATAGCAATGGCCAAGAGGTGGCCAAGAGACCTAAATGGCTGTGGGCAGATGACAGTAAAGAAAATGTGGTATACACGTATCAGGGAATAGTGTTCGGCCTTAAAAAAGATGACAGTTCTGCAGCATGCAACCGCATGACCTTCAGGGCATTATGCTAAGTGCATACATAAGCCAGGCACAGAGACAAATACTGCATGATTCTACGATCATTATTTAGAAATCCTTTCAGGGGACATCGTTGTCACGGGGATGCAGATACGTGGCCAGGGGCGAACGAGCAGGAGTAGCGTGGCTCGCTGTAGGATAATGGCCGTGCGAACTCACAGGGCCTCTCGACAGGGCTTTTATGCTATTGTAGCATTTCAGCGTCCAAGAAAAACTGCGCCGCTGAATCAGCCGTGATTGGCCAGGGCCAATTTTCACATTCATTTACTTCAAAAGCCTTTCCCTTCGTGGAAAACCTCCTCCTTTATGGACTGTGGCCACGCCCAGGACTGGCATTTTCGGTACCTCGGACCACAGAGCATTCTCTCCACGAAGGCAGGCCAGGTTGCTCTCAACGCAGCGCCTGCACACTGGGCTCTTCTAGAACCTCTGTCCTCGGTGCACAGGGATGCTGTTTCCACCCCCTCCCGCAGGGGGAACGTGCAGGAGGGCGGGCTCAGGGTAGGTGGGGAAGTTGAGGACTCCCTGGGCTAGGGCCCTGGTGAGCCCTCCTGCATCCTAGGTCCTTATCTCTGCGTCAGAGCCCAGCCAGGGGGGTCAGCAGTCAGAGGTGAGGCCTGTTCTTTATGAGCGTGGGCATGCGTCCGGGCTCCGGGCATTTGTCATGGCTCGGGCACTTTGAATCCACAGACAGGGCATGGTCCTGGCTTAGGGAGCTCGTGGCCAGGTCCGAGCTGTGTACGGCGTGGGCAGTGGCACCGTGGAGCTGCCCACTGTGGTGGGGTTGGGGGCACACCTCGGGGCACCTGCCCACCTGGCAGAGAGGGGCTGGTCTTCCTCGTGACACCCAGCTGATTTTCGAGGGCATCCCAGCGTCAGGTGAAGGGGCAGAGGCAGGGCAGCCCGGGTAGAGCGCATACCCCTACCTTGGTCCAGAAACAAGCGTGTGCTGTGTGCAGGGAGCCAGCCCTAAGCATCTTGCCGAACCAGGCCCAGGCTGTGGGAGGCGGGGTTGGAGAGGCAGGGAGAGGGGCAGAGGGGACAAACCACATGACCTGCAGAGAGAACTCAAAGTCAGACTGAGGCAGAAGGTTCAATTCTCCCGTCTCCTGCCCTGCAGTGAACAGGCAGGCCAGTTAAGAACGCAGGCTGGAGTCACGGAGCGGGCCCAGGTCCTGACGCGGCTGCACGTCCGTGCCTTTGCCTCTCAAACGAGGGAGGTGCAAGGACTGTGTACGGAGGTGTGGGCTCCGCAGCAGCTGAGCTGGAAACACCTCTGCACCCAAGGGAACGAGGGGAGGAGGGGAGGCCGCCAGAATCAGAGTCCAGGAGAGGAGTGGCAGCCTCCAGCCAGGCGGTGTAACCAGGCCGAGAGCCGGATGAGAGGGACCAGGGCAGTAGACCCCCGTCCTCGGTTTCCCCTCCTTCCCCGTCTCCGCTGAGCCCTGACAGCGTCAGAGAGTTCACTACTGCTTGTTCATCCGTCCCCATAGATCAGCCTCCCGAGGCACAGAGCGGAGGGGAGAGTGTCTCTAAAGGGGCCTTGGAGGATGTCTGGACTCTTACCCCGTGGGGGAGTGAGGTTTAAGTGAGATACTGCAGCAAGGCTCTTAGAGGAGTTCCTGACCCCAAATAAATGCTCAATCGAGGCCGAACTGAAAGAACAAACTAGAATCTAGTAGTACATTTGCACACATGTGCCACAGGCCGATCAAATGGCAACCGGAAGAGAGTCCCGGAGCTGGGTGGAGGTGAGCAAGAGGCTTTTGAAGGGGGGTGGCCCTTATTGGGTGTGACAGTCCCTGGGTTGGGGAATTCAGATGTTATTCTGAATCATAAACTTGGAGGCCTAGAAAAATGGGGAATGGCTTTATTTGAGTCCCCGTGGTGACATAATATGTAGATTATTTCAAGGGTCTGATATGTAAAATAAGTCCCAGTTCTGGAACATTCCTGCACAGGGGTTCCAAGTGCAAATAGGCAGCCCTGTGGTGACGGAAGCCCCACCTTCTGCATGGGAAGATTACTCCTCCCCTCAGGCGACCTCCACAAACACCTGCTAATGACAGGGAGCCCCCTGTGAAACTTCTAGATCTAAGGAAGATCTTACAACTTCTCTTTGCCCTTCTGTTAACTTGACAGTCCTTATTTTTAAATCTTCTTTCTTAATTCTAACTTACTTTAGGCTCCCAGCTAGATCCGTTTCCTTGTCTTCTGTCCATGGGACAGCCGCCTCAACACAGTATTCTATACAAAAAAACCCCAAGAAACAAAAAAGAGCTAAGACCAGAAGAGACTGGAATATACATTAAGAAAATTGGCACAAGAAGAATCAATCTTCCTCGGAATTTTCTTAAAGAATTTTTTCCTTGCAGAGAAAGCCAGACCATAAAATAAAAACACATGCGGTTGTAAATAAACAAAAACCTCACGTATGTGAAGTGTAGTTTTTCCCCAAGACAAACTAACATTTTGCTCTGTCTGCTTTTCCTAACATGCACATTTTATTTCACATGCGGAAATTCACACGCGGCTCTCCCGGCTGCAGGGTTTCCTTGGGCGGAGAAGTCTTGGTGGTGCGTTCAGAAGCGCTGGCCCCTGTTGATTTCGCCAAAAGCAGCAAATATTTAAAAATGAAATTTTCCGGGCTCTTAGCTCCTAAAACAACCTTGTGGGGATGGATGATTTTGAATCTATGGGCCCACGGAATGTCTCACAGCCTTTCAAATTGTCGTCAGCCATTTCCCTGCACAGTGGCAGCCATCGATACGCGTCCCATGGCAGGAGCACGGTGGTACCAAGGCTGTGTTTCTGACCTTTATTGCATTTCTTATTTGCTGACAGCCTCATCCCCGGCAGGCCTGCAGTCTGCTGATGCCTGTTAATCGTTCTCACTAAACTGGTCTCTAGGTGGAGCTGGGTGTTGAGCAATAGTGGCCTATTCAGAGCTTGGGTCATGGTTGTCGCAGCCCAGAAGTGAGTTCTGTGCTATCAGCTTTGCGCCTGGCCCTCTAGATTCAAGCGCTGCTGTCCCCTGCTCTGTAGCCACTTATAACTGTGGCTTCAGTCCCACCTCTCTCTTGCTGTCCCACCCCAGCCAGCGCCTGCCCCACCCCAGCCAGCGCCTGCCCCTCTGGCACGCAGGCCCCAAGCCTGGTCTAGGTCTTTTCCCAAGTGTTTTATCCAGCCAGACTGAGTCATAGAGCCACAGCACCTTAAAGCCAGAAAGAACATTAGGAATTTTCTAGTCTGACCCTCCACGTTTTCAGAAAAGGAAATTTTGGTCCCCCCAAAACGCACCCATGGCCAAATAATGGTAAAGGTGGCATCAGAACTGATAACAGAACTGGAATAAGAATCCACGATTTTATAGAACAAATGGCAGTTGTTGTATTTAATCGAAATTTCTGTTCCTACTATGGTTGTCAGGTGGCTGTTGTCCCACCAGAGCTATAAATTATGTGTTACTTGCACCAACATCCTAATATGATCTTTTAAAAATCAACTTTGAAATGGTTGTGTGGAAAAATGGATCGTGTTATGTTACCGCAGGCTTATGACTTGTATCAACCACACTGATACTGCATGTTCGTGGGCAAAACCACAACCCTCCACCTACCTAATCTGGATGTGGTAGGGTGATAATGTACAAGTTGAGGTGACTTTTGCCAACTGGGAACTTAAGATCATAAAATTTCATTTTCTTCCTCCAATGATTTCTTAAATAAAATGCACTTGGAAGGGCCCTGAAATGTATACTAAACATATATATTTTTTGCTTTTTCTACCAACCCATCATCTATTGGGGCCAGGATCTCAGACAATAAGATCAGTAACATTTATGCACAGAAGTCTATCTGGTGGGTTCTTAGGGTGTATGGGGCTCTGTGGTCGATAATGTAAGAGGTCAGGTGGACTTAAATATAGGTATTGACATTTGATATTGCCTGAATTAACCCTTTTTCTATTTATTGAATCATGATTTTACTTCTGTGCCACCTGTGCCCATGAAATGTGTGGTCCCTTTGCTGACATTATATTTGCAGCACACACAGTGCAGGTTTTCTTAATCCAAGTGATAATGTCTCTTCCTTCCAGGCAGAGTGTAAAACCAACGCACTGGATAAACAGACGTTTCAGATCTTATACCATCTTGTCTTCCAGGCTCTGTGGCTACCCTCCTTTTTATGATGAGAATGACTCCAAGCTCTTCGAACAGATCCTCAAGGCAGAGTACGAGTTTGACTCCCCCTACTGGGATGACATCTCTGACTCTGGTAGGTCTCCCACGTGCAGCCCCCAGCAGGTGTGACACTTGGACCCAGACCACCTGACCCTGATAGGCCCAGGGATCCCTGGGGGGCTCAGAGAGGTCCTGAGGCTCCTGCTTTAGTCCGTTTTGGCTGCTATATAACATAGACTGGGCAGCTTCAACAGCCAACATTCATTTCTCACAGTTCTAGAGGCTGGAAAGTCCAAGATACAGGTGCTGCCATATTTAGTATCTGGTGAGGGCCCACTGCCTGGTTCACAGACAGCATCTTGTCACCGTGTCCTCATAGGGCAAAGGGAGGCAGGAGAGCTCTCTGGGGTCTCTTTTATCCCATTCATGAGGGCTCCACCGTGACGACCTCATCACCTCCTGAAGACCCCACCGCCAAATGCTATCACATAGGGGTCAGGATTTCAGCATACGGACTTTGGGGGGTCATATGCATGTGCCAACACACTCACAGCACACAGTTCATAACAGCGCTCGAGGAAGCTTCATGAGCTACGTATTTGGGCTTCACTTGCAAAGCAGAGGACAAGCTTGGGACATCTGGCTCATTGGGCCAGGCTGTGGGATGGGGACTCCCTCCTCCACCTGTCCTCACCACACCCCAATCTGGGTGCTCCAGGAGTGGTTTGTAATAGTTTGCGTGGGCTGCATGCAGTGTTCCCTGAGGACTCGGTATCCACAGTGCCTAGCCCAGAACCTCCAGGATTGAGCAGGAAGCTCGGTGGGTTTAGCTTTATCGGCCACGTCTAAACACATGGAGAGGACGTCACCAAATCAGCCCTCTAAGGCAGTGGGGAACTAATTAGAGGCACATGATTACAAAGATACTTTCTTCTCTGAACCAAAGGTTTCACTAGCAGCTAGAGACAAGAGCCTTGCAGCTGGGGAGTCAGGGCCCTGAGCCTGGCCCTGCTGCCCCCTCACTCGCCAGGTCACCCTTGGAGGCCCCAGGCCTGGCCTTCTTTTTCCCCAAGTGCTGATGCCTTTTGTGGTCCAAGGTACAGTAGGGACCTTGGAGAGCTGGTCTCGTATCTTTCATGCCGTACACGATACTCCCAACGATGTGGTGGTACATCATACTGTCGTATCTCTAGCCACAAAGTGACCCCTTCCGATGTGCCTTCTTTTTGAACAGCAAAAGACTTCATTCGAAACCTGATGGAAAAAGACCCGAATAAAAGATACACCTGTGAGCAGGCGGCGCGGCACCCATGGTAAGAGAAATCACCCGGTACGCAGACTGTGCCATCTAATGCCTCCCAGAGTCAGCTCTCTGTGGGCCGTTCTCATTTATGAAATCCACACGGTTGTCAGTTTCATCTCATCGTGGCTGGTGTCTGTACTTCTGTCTTCAAGCCATCATTTGAACACTTTCATGCCTTCAGGACATGATCTTCCGAATGCATTCATGAGAAGTCAGGGTGCAAAAGACAGCTGTTGCTCTGTCGCCTTGCAGAAAGTTTTTAAGGATCATTTTTATTTAAAGTAATTGCCCAATGAGTCATTAAGATTGGAGTTTTATTCCTTGAGTTTATTACTCAGTAGTTAAATGAATAGAAGTTGCCTGTTTTTTTCCCTTTAAGATGCTTTTTGAATTAGTGTTTCTTCAGTTCTAGAGGGAATAGTTAATAGCTTATGGCTTTTTTCACATTTTCAGCAGTTAGAACCCAGCTTTCCTGTCAACTAGCTGTGACGTTGGGCTTATACTTGACTTTTCTGAGCCTTAGATTTTTCACTGTTACAATGAGAATAACAATACCTAATTTACAGAGTTGACCTGAAAAATCACAGAGATAGTACCTGTAAGGGTTTAGCATGATGTCTGGTACATAATAGATGCTTAACTAATTGTAGCTCTTATTATTAAAGCACCATGAGCATCCACTTTGAAACAAATGCCAAGAGTAGTAAAATACTCAATATAGTGAAAATAAATGCACAGAACCTTCCTAAAATTCTTTTAGGAAGCACTCAAGAAAACCATCCCCTGTTTAGCCAGCTGTCTTCTGTGGCATCTCCTCCAGGGTCTCACGTGCAGGTTGGCCTTCCAAAGCAGACCTGCCCACAGGTAGTGTCCTGACCCAGTTTCACAGCATGTTAATGGGTGACACCCGTCACTTCGTCAGTCTCTATCGTGTTCCAGGCACTGAGCTAATTGCTTTAATGTATCGTCTCCTTTTTTCTTTATAATAAATAACCCCGTGAGGTAGGTTTCATCTTCATTTCAGAGCTAAGGAAATAGAAGAGGTAGTAACTTAGCCAACACTGCACAATTAGCTAGTGGCAGAGCCAGGGGTGCACTGTCCGATTCCAAAATGATACTCCTGAAAGAGAAGAAAAGAGGAAGAAAGGAGAGGGTTAGGGGCAGAAGGAAAGAATGTTCTGGAAAAGTAGTCAAGATGATTGTGCATCATCTTGATATTTTTAATAAGTCACTTTGGCCAATGGGAGAAACCAAAAGAAGGGAGAGGTCAGTTTTACTGAGGGGCCTGGAAGTGGGGTGAGGTGGGCTCTGCAGAACACGATGCCCACGAGTCTTACACTGTGAGAAGCTTCCCCCAGGCCAGCAGGGAGGGGACAGCGGCACTCCAGGCAGGGCAAACAGCCGGGGCCATGGGGCTGGGGGTACAATCATACGTCCAGTCCTGAAGCCACCAGCACCTGGTTTTCTGGAATAAGAGCGGACAAGGGAAACAGGCAGGAGGGGAGGCTAGAACGGAATGCAGGAACTGGCAGGTTCCGGCCTGGCCTGCTGGACTCCCAGCCCCGACTTCACCACTTACTGCTGTGTGGACGAGCTCCTTAGCCCTGGGGACTGCCTCCGTAGAATTGAGATCATGAATAGCAGCAACATACAGCCTCCATGTGACGAAGACGAGTGCCTGGCCCCCGACACGTGTGCGAGTGGCCATTATTTTATTATTGTACCAAGGGATTTGTGCTTTTCCCTTTGGGCGGTGGGGCCCCTGACAGGTTTGAAGCAGGGTGATCGGTTTGATTTTAGGAAGCCTGATCTGGCCACAGGAGAGAGGGTGAGTGGTGGGAGAGGGGATGTGGCAGGAAGGTGCAGTGCAGAGGTGGGAGGAGGCTGGCCCAGAGGAGAGTGACAGTGGCCTGGCGGGCAACAGGACAGGGATGGGGAGGGGTGCAGAGGACAATGCATCCCACTCGGGCAGAGAAGCCACAGGCATTGGGCAGAGCACTGGCGGGCAGGTTAAGAAAGTGAGGGGTCGGGGACTATTCCCAAGTTCCAGCCGAAGGGACTGGGGAGATGGTTGCGCTGGGAGGAGATGCAGGCTTCAGGGCAGAGAGTGGGTTCAGCCTCCGCACGCTGGGCTGGAGGTCCTGGGGGCCTTGCAGACGGAGCTCTATGGTGGGCGCTGTGCTGAATGCGCCGGGCGCCTGTGGCGTCAGCTGGAAGACTTCAGAGTGACCAGGCTGTGTCCGAGCCTGTGAGCTGTAGCAGTGAAGGGCTTGATTCACAGGTGATTATTTCTTGGCACTTTATCATTTTCACTATGCGTCTCAAGACTTCCAGAAAGTCAAACGCTGGAAAATGACAAAAACAAATGCGTTTGTCCCAAGCATAGCTGAAACTCCTCACTTGCCCGTGTTTATAACATACTTGTCTCTTTTATGTAAAACCTCCCGGGCAAAGGAGAGTGCAGGCTCCCCTGGGAGCCGGCAAGAGGTGGAGCCATCCCTGCAGCGGAGCGAGCTTCCCCAGTTCCCCTCTCTGCAAGCGTGTTCTCACACATCTGTTGCACCCGGGGAGCACGATCTGTCATCCCTCACCTGCACGTCCAACTTCACCAAGACCACCCAGGGCTAGCGAGGCCTCAGAAATCACAGACTCCTTCCCTTAGCCTCGAAACAGACCCCTCCAGGCAGGAGAAGGCTCTTTCCAAAGGTCTCCATGCAGAAAGCAGGCAGCCCTCTCACCAGTTCCCAAGCCCCGTTCACTTGAGGCCTGCCTTCCTCTCGGTGGTGCATGGCCAGGCCCCCCAGGCTGCTGACCCCCCATGGCTGTTACAGGGCAGCACCTCAGAGGAGCTCCTCTGTCCACGTCAGTTGTTATGAGCGTCTGTCTCTGGTTTTGCAGGTGAATAAGATTGAAGCTAGTGTCAGCATCCTATGCTGTTGTAAACTTCCTAGCTTATGGTGAACAGCATTGACAAGCAACCTACAGGGATGAGCAAGACAGAGAGACTGAGAGAGAGAGGTTAATTGATTTTAAGGAATGAAGACATTGATTCGCATGATTGTAGGGGCTGGAGAGTCCAAAAATCCGCAGGGCTGTCTGGAGACCTGGAAGAGCTGATATTGCAGCTTGAGTCCAAAGACAGTCTGGAGACGGTGTTTCCTCTTCCTCTTCTCTTAGGGCTTCAGCTGATTTAAGTGGGACTCACCCACGTTATGGACACTCACAGGCTTTGCTCAAAGTCTACTGATTAAAATGTTAATCTCCCATCCAAGTACTAACCAGGCCCGACCCTGCTTAGCTTCCAAGATCAGACGAGATCAAGCGCGTTCAGGGTGGTATTACCACAGACAAAATGTTAATCTCATCTAAAAAAATACTTCCACAGCATTATCTAGACTAGCATTTGGCCAAAAACCTCTGGGTACCGTGGCCTAGCCAAGTTTACCATAAAATTAACCGTTATACACCGGAATGTTCACTGAGACCCCCACCCCTCTTCCAGGCTCCAGCCACCTGAGCTCTAATCTGCCGTAGGAATCGGGTGGCAGCCCAGGAGTCCGGCAAAGCACTGTCTGGGATTCACGCCAAGCATCATCAAGGCTGTCTTAAGCAAGCGGCTAGAAAAATGCAGACGCAGAGCGGTGGAAGTAGAGTAGACCACATATGAAGCAAAAACACTAGCAGCAAGGAGAGATGAGTTTGGTGGTCTGTGCGCAGAGAAGGATAGCAAGACAGGCCACGAAAGGTGTGGTTCTATAAATACCATCTTTATTGTCCGTGTAGATATTAAAACCAGACAGCAAGAGAGACACGAATAAAACATGTGCATCCATCGCTTTACACGTATGTGCATGTCTACAGCTGTATAAGGAAATGCTGCTATATCCAAAGTATTGGTTAATTCCTAGGACAATCTAGGTGACCGCTAAGGTCCCTTCCAGTTTTACGATTCCATGCCTCTGGTTCTGTGGGCGAATGATACTGACGTCAGTGTCCTGCATTGTTACTGTAAACTTCCTAGCTTACGTGAGCAGCAGCAACTGTTGTCATTGTGGTGCCCATTTGAGGAGGACCATGTTGTGCTGCTGTGGCCCCAGGTGGCAGCACCCTCCCCTGAAAGAAGGCTGCCGAACAGGGAGTCTTTGGGCCACCTTCTGCACAGCTGGACTCCTACCCAGCTGTAGCACAGCGTAGGGCTGTGGCAAGTGAGCAGGAAACATTCCTAAAATAATCGAAAGCTTGCATTTTCCTTCCATCTGGGCCCGCGTGAACCGACAGACATGGCACGGGAAGCAGAGCACAGGCAGCAGGCCCCAGGCTCAAAGTGTCTGAGACCACGCTGCGGACACGCAGGTGGATCCCGAGGCCCGGGGTCTCCCTGACCCCCCTGTAACCAGCCTGTTTGCTTTGGCGTCCATCCCGCCCTGCAGCAGCGCTCGGCCCCAGGAATTCCATCCTTCCTACCGCTTTGGCCCTGTCGTTTCCGAGAAACAGCTGGCCACTGACAAGTTGGAACTGGCATCCTTTTCTGAGGATGTAGCTTTTAAACATGGTCCAGGAGGAAACTCTCCCATGGGTTGTCTAGCAGAAAAAGCTCCATGAAGATGTCTCCAGCTCCCTAACCTCCTGACTCTGGTTTCACATGGATTTGCCCATTCAGATACCCCATCTCTGTTTCAGGGATGTGTGTCTGGGAAGAGGGGGCAGTTGCCATTGGTTGGAGATGGAAACCTGGTTCACTGGGGTGACTTTCTGAGAGCGCTCTTGGCTGTGTTTCCAGCCCTGCTGGGAGGGAGGGGGGTGTTTTTTGGGGGGAGTTTGTTTTTGTTTGGGGTTTTCGGCTTGGTTTTTAACCCCGGGCTTGCTTGGCCCGGCTTTACTTTTTGGGCGTTCACCCCGTTTTGCGTTTCTGGGGGGGAGTTTGGGTGGGGTGCTTTCTGGTCTGAATAAGCCCTGAGCTTGTTCCTTTCATCTCTCGAGGCAGCTGGAAGTAGCAGTCGGTGGTGTCCAGGCTGTTTTGTCCCCAGGACAGTCGGGGTCTGGGAAACGTTCCTCACTTACCAGTTAGCTCCCAGCCAGGCCTTGGCATCTGCCCCTTAACTTTGCCAAGAGTCAATTAATGCCTGTCTGATCTTAGGCATCAGATACCAACCTGGAATTTGGTAGTTTGGTGCTGGAGGAAGATGGAGGGATTAAAGCCCGGAAAACACTGAGAGGAGAACACGGTGGTTGGGGGACAGGGAGAGGGACAGTGCGGGGAGTTTGCTGCCATCCGGAAGGGAATGTGTGTGGGTAGCAAGAGCTGTGAGTGACCTCCGGGTAATTCCAAGCCTAGAGATTGTGAGCTGAGAGAGGGGGAAAGATGTAAGACCCAAGAAAGAGATAGCAGAGGGGGCAAAGAGCAGGGTGCAGAGGACTCTACAGACAGGGCTGATAAGCACAGCTGAGTTCTGCCCTGCTGATCGGAGAAGGTTCAGGAACAAGCAACAGCTAAAGGAAAGATTGCTGAGGGCCGTCGAGGGCCCAGTTGAATGTAGAGTGAATGTGGTCCTCCAAGTTCTGAGAACTTTCTAGGAGATGCAGGGGCAGAGGGCACACAGGCAGGGTTGAGCACGGAGCAGGTGTTGCCAAGCAGAGCGTCACACACAGGGCTTCGCTCAGCTGGGCTGGAGCCAGGAGGGAGCGCAGAGTCCCAGGATGTGAGCGGGGTCGATGGCACGGAGGTCCTGGGAGGCGTCGTGGATTCCGATGGTGTAGGAATTCAGTCAAAAGAGGAAAAAAGAGCCAGGTGGTGAGGCCAACCAGAAGGGTGTTGGCGGGTCCAGGGAGGGTGCAGAGTATGGAAGACAGGTAGGACTTTGGGGTGTTGGTGGAGGAGTATGTGGGCTCAGGGAAGAGCCAGGTGGTGGCCTGGGCAGCTGGCAGGGCAGTGGCCACCCTCTGCCCAGCCAACCTCCATCAGAGCCCTGAAGAAACGCTTCAAAGAAGCATCTCCGCCTCTGTTTCAGGATCGCTGGTGACACCGCCCTCAACAAAAACATCCACGAGTCCGTCAGCGCCCAGATCCGGAAGAATTTCGCCAAAAGCAAATGGAGAGTAAGTCTTGAGTGTGTTAAACGCCCGGTGACTGTGACCACTCCCATGCAACTTGTGCTACCGTTGGAGCATTTCTCACTTGTAAAGGTTACTGTCACCTGAGTTTGGAGAAAATTCCCCAGAACCTCACCCGAATAATTTTGCCAATTTTAACCAATAATAATTAAAACTTGGAGCGTCATGGTGTGAGAGGGATAGAGAGAATGATTAAACATTTCCCTTCCATGATGCAAAAACAGCAGTCGTGACAGCTCGTACTAATGTGCTGTTTCTTAAGCAACATAATCCCTTTGGTCTTTCTTCACTCTGCTAGAAATTTGAATAATTGACTTTTATGAAAGTGATACGAAAGGTGGAAAACTCCAGGAAACCTGAGTTGAACTCACCAATATTTCCTGGTAAAAAAATTGACAGATTTAAACCATAGAATTTTCGTGATCATCTATTAATTACCCAAACTCTTATGTTCTAATCAGCGTGGGGAATTATGAGCCCACTGTTTTCTGAGAGCCAACAATGAGAGAGACAGTAAGAAACAAAATTGATTCCACAGACCTGCTTTATTCAAAGGAAATGATATTTAGGACAAAAGTAGCAACAATAAGAAAATAACTATCTTACAATGTCAGATTTTAAGGTATTATAGTATATCTGTTATTCTAAAAGTCACTTAAATTATAGAGAATTGTTTTACATGTATTCCATGTGTTTATGATATCAGAAGAAAACTATTTTAAATCTCCAGAATATATTTTGATGGGGAGGGGGTTTTTATACATCAGCGCACTTTTGGAAGAAAGGGAAACGTGAGTTTTCTTTCTAGAGTGTCATGAGAATGACTTAAGAAGTCTGAAATGCTTGGGGTAACAGGATAAATGACAGGACAGGACACAGCCGGAGTCTTTTCTAATTAGCTGGAATATTTTGTCTGCTTTTTTCCTTTCTCAAATTTCAGCAAGCGTTTAATGCCACAGCTGTCGTGAGACATATGAGAAAACTACATCTTGGCAGCAGCCTGGACAGTTCAAATGCAAGTGTCTCCAGCAACCTCAGCCGGGCCAGCCAAAAAGATTGTGCGTATGTAGCAAAAACAGAGTTCTTTAGCTGGCATTGAAGACACGTCTGGGGTGGGGAGGCGGGGGGAGGATCGTCATTTGCTGAGTACCTACTGTGTGCAGGGCACTTTGAATAGTTTATCCCATTCACACAGTCACCCTAGGACATTTTAGAAAATAGAATCGCTTAACACTCACACGACCCTAGAGACCACTATTTCCACGTATAGATGAGAAATCCACGGCTCAGGTTACACAGCCTCTGTCCGGATAAAGGCCTGGACGCATGGCCTTCGGGACGCCCCGCCCTTACATTTTCCCCAGAACTCTGCGTGCGCCCCCCGCCCCGGCCCGCTGCACTTCGCAGAGCCACACTCGTGTTCCACCGTGACTCCTTTCCCCCTCTCTGGAAGGGAGCCCCCGATTGATCATTTGTTTAAAGATTCGAACGATGACGTTGACAGCAAAGCCCGTCTTAGGAATTTACGTTATGGGTCTCCCTGTGTTCGTGCTTGTACATCCCTGGGGACCCTCGCTGGAGGGCCAACCGCGGCCGATGCAGCCACGTCAGGGCCTTCCGGTGCCCACACATCCGCTTGGGAACTTTCCCAGGCCAGGGTACTGCTAAGTCCACGCAGGAATAGACGAACGTCCTTATTTCAAAGTGCTCTACGTCACAAAATGCTTCTCAGCCAAGAGTTCAGGCAACACCCCAACCAGGCGTCAGAATCTTTTTCATTCTTAAAATACGTACGTCACAGAGCGGTTATAAGACACGAGCAATTCTTACAATGACAGTGTGTATTCAGCTAGCCCGGCTGTAGTTCATAGTAAGTGCTCAATGCACGGAACCCGGCATATCATGGTAGCAAAGCCATGGTGTTTTCAAATACAAATCAGTTATAATTATAATGAAGAAAGGAGAGGACAGTCGGGTCTAAGAATAAAGCATTGTGGACACATTGCAAAGGTCTTCTGATTGGTAGGTACAGACGTAGAGTCACGTGGGTAAAAGTTGGGGTCCCCCCCACAAACCCAGCCCAGCTGATGCCCTTGTGGTGGGGAGGAGGGGTGAGAACTGGCTTCCGGAGCCCTGAACCCCGCCGCGTCTGCTGTTCCCCCGCAGGCCTGGCACCTTCCACGCTCTGTAGCTTCATTTCCTCTTCGTCAGGGGTCTCAGGAGTCGGAGCCGAGCGGAGACCCAGGCCCACCACTGTGACGACAGTGCACACGGGAAGCAAGTGACTGGCTCTGGAGGTGGGGCCCAGGGGCGGGGCCAGGGAAGGGGAGCCCCTCCAGCGAGCCCCGTCTTGCATGGTGCACCTCCTTGCATAGGACTGGAAGACAGAAGTTTTTTTTATGGCCATATTTTCTACTGCAATTCTGAAGTGTTCGTTTCTCACAAACTGTACTGACTCGAGGGGGCCGACCCAGCAGGGTCTGGTGCTGTGCGTACGCATCTGGCGAAGCTCTGTCCGAACGGACCTCTGATCCCTCTGCCCCGGCGCCGCCGTCTCCACTCTTCTCGGCTTAGGTAACCGTCTGTGGTGTATTTTTTCATTAATGACAAAAAAAAATGGTTTCAACTGGATTATTTAAATATTGGTAAATATTGTGCATTAGGGGTTTTTTTTTTTTTCTTTTAAGTAGTATGTCCTTTTGACTGTATCTCTCGGTTACATGATCTATATCTTTTGCTCTTTCATAGTGGTTTTATGTTAACCTATAAGAGATTTTTTTTTTCCTCCACGGAGAATTTAAAGGTATTTTTAAAAATTCTAATAAGAGAATCGAGACTCTGTCTCCAAGGCTAAGAGTGCACTTTACTTCCACTCCTTCTCTTCGGCCCCCTTCCTCGGGAAGGGAGCTCCTCAGAAGACAGCTCGGCAGTTCTGCAGGGCTGGGTTCTCTCCAGGGTGGCTCTCGGGGGAGGAACTGCAGCAAACTTTTCCGAGCAGACCCCCACCCTCCCGCCCCCAGCAGACCCCAGGCCAGCCAGAGACCAGAGGGGCCTCTTGCCATCAGCGGTCGAAAGCGGAGGAGCCGCTCCCCCAGACCCAAGGCTAAACGTCACAGGCCAGACTCGCTGTGACACCCACAGCGCAGAGACGCACGAGCCTCCCCTACAAAAGGAACAAGCTGCCGTTTTGTTTCAAATGAACCCACACCCGACCCTCGATTCTCACGAGAGGTGACAGATGAAAGCTCTGATCTCAGCTATGCAGTTTTAAAATGAATCTCTCTCCTCTCTGTTTTTTAAAAAATACGTTTCTAACCTTGTGCTTAAAATGGCCTCGAACACACACAAGTTGTTCCTGCACATTTTTACCCGATTCTTAGATGAATGTTTTCCGAGGGACGGGAGGGAGGCGGCCTTGGGCAGGCATCTATCTGTGGTGGTAAGGAGAGGTGGCCTGCCAGGCAAGCAGGGCGCTGGCCACCGCAGACGTGGCCAGAGATGGCCTCAGCAGGGGCATCAGGAGGGCTCGAAGCTGTCCCTCTGATCAGGGGAGTCTAAAATCAAAGACCTGTGGTGGTGGCGTCATCACCTGCCCCAGTGTGCCTGGGACTGAGGATTTCCCAGATGTGGGACTCTTAGTGCTGAAACCGGGGTTGTCCTGGGCAAATCAGGTCGTGTCATTCACCCTCATGGTGGGGAGGCGTGCAGGAGAGAGCGGGGGCCATGTGCCACCCAGGGCGACCCTCCTTCCAAGGAGGCTCCTAGTGCCAGCTTTGCAGAAGCCGTCCCTCGGCCCCTCACGTCCACCCGTGGCCCTGAGTCTGAGTTCCGCAGTCAGCCCTGAGCCACCGTGGGTGTCCCAGCAGGTCTTCCTGGTGGCCCAGCGATTCCTGGCCGCTGTCCTCTCGCCCTTCGACTACAGTTAGCCAGTCTCGGGAGTCCCGTTGGTCAAGCCTTGATTGTCACTTCCACACCTTTGCCTGTGTCTAGGCTGAATGTTCAGTGATGCCCCGGCCCTCCCCGACACACACACACACACACACACACACACACACACACACACACACACACACACACACACACACACACACACACGTATCAGACTCAGCATCCCCATCCTTCCCCAGCTAAGGACGGCAGCACAGGCGTGTGTCAGAGCATCTGGGAAGACAGGCAGCTGGTCTACCTGTCCCCATGTGTGGAAATCCTGTTTGGCATCTGCCGCACAGGCACACGGGCTGAAAAATCAAGCTGTCACTCTTCATAATCTGTAAAAAGCCTAGAAAAGTCTATAAAGTGACAGTAGACCCAGTTAAGAAGCAAGTGTCACCTGAGTTGAATAAGCATCTCTCCCTCCTTCAGATGGACAATGACAGGAATATTCTAAACAGTATTTGAGAAAACTGAGGTGTCTGTCCAGAGGTTCATTAGGCTGTTCCTTACTAACAAGTGTCGTGGAAACATTCATGTCCAGACAGCATAAGAAAGTAAGTAAATAGGACGTTGCAGGGGGTGGTCACTTACCTGAACTTGGTACCTGCAACGTTGGCACGAACAGTTACGATTAACTCTTTGTGCGCTGTGCTATACGCAGTCGTGTGCAGTTAGAAAGCAACATTTGAAGCCAAATTCCGTTACTGGTGATTGAAATAGTCTCTGGAGCTGAACCGCGGCTGCCCGCTGTATGCAGTGAGTTGGGAAGTATCTCACCTGGACAGTGCGGAACGGCTGGCAGGCGGGCCCTGGTGCAGGTTCTCAGCCGTGCTCGGCCTGTGACACCCAGGTCTCAGGTACATCGTGAGAGGAGACGGTGACTGGTGTCAGCCCAAGAGTAGACTCTGTGGAAGATGACATCAGGAAGGCCATACTGCCGCGATGCCACCAGGCTTAGGTTGCTTCCTGTGGTTCTAGAAAGCAGAGAGCATTTGCTCTCTTGAGAGGGCCTCGTGGTACGGGGCGGAGGTTCTCTTTCAGCTGCGCTTGGTGCGGTTTGTTTTATCACAGAAGAGGAAGAGAACCAGAATGAAGACCCGACAGAGGGGTGGCAAAGCCCTAGGCCCCTCACTGGTGTCACTAGCAGTAGCTGAGCACCCCACGTGCTGGGGGAGGGGACGGGGGAGCGCATAGTCCCTGTCACAAGCTGCTTTCCTGGTCCCAAGCCACCCATTTTGTCACTTCCTCTTCTCGGAGCGAGTGGATTTTCTTTTCTCACTTGAACATTAAGTTTGGAAACAGTGGCCGGGAATGGCCGTCCCCTCAGCTGCCCGTCTGTTCCTCCCGTGCAGCAAGAGAGGCCGACATCCATTGAGACGAACCGTGGGTGGCGCCACACTCAGGCTTGTCGCTCCCAGCCCAGGTGGGCCTGGGGTCCGCGCTGCTGTCTGCTCCCAAACCCGCCTTGCTGGTGGGCACACGGGAGAGAGGAGGCTGCCCCGTTAGACAGACGGCACCTCCGGGCCACTCGTGGCTCCTGCGGTGGGCAGCAGCTGGTCCCCAGCTCCCGCTGCCCCTGCCTGCATAGGAGAGAAAGATCATCTCCCCTTGAGATCTCCTTCCTAAAGAATTTAAAGAACTGGGCAGAAAGCATGCCAAGAAAAAAAAAAAAAGAAGAAAAAAAGCATGGCTTAGTTCCTGGACTGTGGCCATGATTCCAGTCACTTCTAAAATCTCACCTCAAGGACAGGGAGCAGCCTCCCCCACCCCACCCCTGGCACAGAAGCTTGTGACCTCTGAGAGGGCCCCACTCTCTAGCCGGCTCTCGGCGCGGCCTCCAGGAACCCGGCAGGCAGACTAGAGTAAAAGAAGATGTCCGCGGCTGAACAGGCCAAGGTTCGGCTCTCAGAAAAGCATCAGCAGTCTGATTAAAGGCATTTGGCACAGAGAGCCCCAGCCTCAGTTTACCCACCCAGCACTAATCTCATGTGCTTGGTGCCCAGCGTGTCCTGGATGGATTGTGGGTGGGAGGGGGGACTCCCCTTTAGAACAGAGGTCAAGAACACCAGGCACATGGGGCAGGGAGCCCAGGTCACCCCTCTTGAAAGCAGGTTGATTGTCTCATCCATGGAATGCCACGTTAACCTGATTAACCCACATTATACAGAAAGAAAATATCCTAGTGGAAATTAGACTCAGTTTTTAAGGCTTTGGGCACCAGGCCCCTTGCCCGACCCAGAGCCTTGGCCAGAATCCATTCTTCACACTGGGGAAGCTGCACTCGAACCTCTGCTCCAGGCTGAAGACAGGAGGACTGGGGCTACTGCCTCGGCTTCAGCCAGCAGCTCCCTGCCTGGTGTAACCTCCGCGGGCGCACTGCTGGGCTCCTTTGGGTACAAGAAAGGGAAGCAGTGGCCGGTACAGGGCACTGCTGCCGTTTTTCATAAACAGAAATGTGATGTATACTCTTCCCCAGGTTGGCACGGTCACTTCTGGCAGAAGCAGTGCACGAACCCTTTGCATGTCCTTCTGACACAGTGCTCCTTCCCCATTCTGCCTACTCTCTGCAAAGTTTGCCTTTTCCTTAAACATTCCAGACCAAACACTGTTCAGTTTGTTTTTTTAAAAAAAAAAAATGTATATACCTGTATGTAATCCACCACTCTTTTGGGGGGTACCTGGTCCTCCGTTGGGGCTGCAGGTCTGCCTGACTTTTGCAAAAGGTGGTCCGATCCCTTCGATTTTCAGACTCGAAAATGTGGAGCTAGAAAAGCCGAATTGGGGAAACAGGTTCCTAAAAGGGGGGCTTACTTCGTGAAGACTCCAAGGAAATTCGTGTGCAGATGAGTTTGCTTGACAACCTCAGCTGTGGGGAGCGGGCAGGTTGGAGAAAGAGGACATTGCGGGCCCATGCCCCACTCTCCCGGCACCTTGGTGGTCCCAGTGCATGGTGGTCCGCAGCCCAGGTGCCTGCAGGAGCCCAGCCCCGCCGCGAAGTCTGCCCTGCATGCTGGCCAAGGCCCAGCCACCTCCCGATGCCTCCAGATGCAGCAGGGGGGAGTCAACCCTTCCCGGACACCCCTGCCACCTCCAGCAGGAGCAGCTCAGCTCGTGGCTCGGGGGGACTCTGCTTTTGCAAATCCAAAAAGGCTGTGCATTTGGAAGCCAAGCGCTCAGCATGTGGCTGCCAAGTCTGGTTTTGTGGACAAAGCAAACCATGGAATGGCTTCTCGGTGTCCGTACCCTTCTACACCAAAGGGACAAGCTGTCGCACTCACCCTTTGTACTAACGCCGCTTCTGCACTCGCCGTTCCGTTTTTAACCTCGTCTCCGGAGAACTTCTCATACGTTGATTATGTCTTCTGATGATTTGCCATATTATTTTACTTACAGGTGATTTTATTTTCTTATGGACAGGAAAAAAAGAAAAAGAGAGGAGTGTTTGAGGCTTCAGTCTTAGAGATAAGACCTCAGCAGGGACTCACGAGCCCCGAACGCTAGTTAAATTGCTTCTCAAAGGAAACTCTCAGCCTGGACTGAGATTCCCCAGTCCCCCTGGAAGCCCCATAATTCGGGGTGCAAGGGCCCTGGGGCGTGGTTGGCAGCCAGGCTGCAAGAAAGCTAAGAGGGAACAAGAACATCAGCTCGGATGCTTGTCCCGCAGCCCTGACGCCTGCTACTGTCCTTCCCCGGGCACTTGGCCCTGTCAGTGGCACGAGACGCTGTCCAGCTGGCCACAGAAACGCTGTGACTTTGTAGCAGCCTCTTTGTTTTGAAAGATGGGGCGGCATGTTTCAGAGAACATTTGTCTTAGTCCCACATTCAGGTGAGAAGACATCCAAGGTACACTCTGT